TGCTGAGGCCTTTTTTGAAAACTTTACTTCAAAAATTTCATTACATCACATTTTAATTTTCACCGATTCCAAAATACTTTGTCCCATGAGTTATTTAGAAGTCATTTCAAAATATTAGGGGGTTTTACAATGATTTTTATTGCCAATTAAGCTTTTTAAAAATCTTAAATATTTATTCCTTTGAGAGGCAGAGATACAAAGAGCAGCACGAACCATGTCATTTTAATTTATTATTTTATAGACTAGAATATGATCACTTTAATAAGTATACCATGAAAACCTGAAAAAACTGCACATCTGCTGTCTTTGTGCAGACTGATCCATAAATGTTGGGTCAACTTGTGTTGTTCACGTCCTTACTGATCTTCTACTCGGTCTATCAATTATGAAAGAATATCAACATCTTGACTATAATTGCATGTTGTCTACATCCCCTTCTGACCCTTTTTTAGTTTGTACTTCATATACTTGACAGTTCTGTGTATAAAAACTTAGAGGCAGGTCTTGTGCTGCAAGCAGGTTAAGCTGCTGCCTGAGACACCACATCCTGGATCAGTGGTGGAGCTTGAGTCCTGGCTCCACTGCCAGCCCAACTTGCTGATGAAGCACGCCTGCTAATGCTCAAGTACTTGGGTCCCTGCCACACATGTGGGAGACCTGGAGGTCCTGACTCCTGGCTTCAGCCTGGCCCAGTCCTGGTTCTCAGCATCTGAGCACTAAGCCAGCAGATGGAGGTGCCTTCTGTCACTCTTTCAAATAAATGAAAATAAAATGTTCTGAAATGAACAGGAAGCCGATTTGCAGACAGTGTAGTGCTGTTGCCCCTCCTCGTAGGTGACCTTGTCCCCGAGTGGCCGCCTGGACTGTGCTTTCTGCATCACCCGGTGTCACAGCTTTGCTTTGGTTACTGACGTCTCTCTCCACCACTGCTCGACTTCTTTATGTTAAAGGTGGTTCTCGGAGGCAGTGTGTTTGGAGTTTGCTCCCCAACTCCAGTTGACAGTCCCTGACTTTTCGTGGAGGTGCTTAGGTCATGCACATTTATTCTGATTAATGTGGGGAGCAATCCGGACTGGACTAAGTTACTGGAATTAAGACTTATTCTATGCATCTGCTCTCCCACAATATGGCGCTGGGAGAGAAGAAAACAGCTTCTACACAGCTGCCTCCAGTTCAGCCAATAAACTGTAGGACTTGCGCCTGATTGGAGGAGAGCAGCGTACTCGGCGTGTGGGCAGCCGAGTTAGGATTGGCGGAGGAGGACTATAAAGGAGGAGAGAGACGGCATGCACCGGGAACATCTAAGGGAACATCTGTGCAGCCCCCGAGAGAGCCGGCCGGCGGTGTGCCGCTCCCCTGCGGAAGTGGGGAATGTGGCAGGGGGAACTGCCCTTCCACGGAGGTGGAAGGGATAGTAGCCAACCCGGGAAGAACCAGCAGCAAACCTGGGGAGGGCCGAGCAGACAAAAGAACAGCGCAGGGTCCTGTGTCGTTCCTCCGCGAAGAGGGGGAGCGACAGATTAATATTGATAGGCTGAAATCTGTCATTTGCTACTTGTTTGTTCCATATGTTTTTGTTCCCTTTTTCTCCTTCAAAAAAAATGCTTTTCATTTTATTTAAAAGGAAGAGAGCACCAGATAGATGGCAGAGAGGGCTTCCATCTTATCTCTAAATGCCCACTACAGCAAGAGCTGGGTAAGTCCGGGGCCAGAAGCCCAGACCTCCATCCAGGTCTCTCACACGGTGGCAGGAGCCAAGTATTGAGCCATCAACCTGCTGACTCCCAGGTGTGCCTAAGCAGGAAGCCGGAGTAGCAGCAGAGTGGCTGGATAGTAGGTGTGATGGGACACACCAGGCCCTCTTTTCCATTTGCCTTGTGTTTTCTGATTCTGTTGTAACTCCTTGATTTCTTAGCTGCTAACTAGTGGTTGTTTTAGGGTGTATAGCGTACATCCTTAGCTTTCCACACTCTGCCTTTGCGGTTTAAGAACATGAAGAACATTGCCAGTCTCCATCGACTCCTCCTCTGCAGCAGTGTTGTCTTCCTTTTCCCTCTTGCGTGTTACAAACGCCACACTCAGCATTTGGAAGGGATTCAGACACTAAGACAGGAAGGCTTCTTGTGGAAGGGATGCGGGTCTCCATAGGCTCCTGTTGGTTCTGGTGATCATGAATTGGGTCCACTTTTGTGCGTCTGGAAAAGTTTTTTTTTTTTTTTTTTTTTTTTTTGACAGGCAGAGTGGACAGTGAGAGACAGATAGAAAGGTCTTCCTTTTGCCGTTGGTTCACCCTCCAATGGCCGCCGCAGCCGGCGCACCGCGCCTATCTGAAGCCAGGAGCCAGGTGCTTCTCCTGGTCTCCCATGGGGTGCAGGGCCCAAGCACCTGGGCCATCCTCCACTGCACTCCCGGGCCACAGCAGAGAGCTGGCCTGGAAGAGGGGCAACCGGGACAGAATCCGGTGCCCCGACTGGGACTAGAACCCGGTGTGCCAGCGCCGCAAGGCGGAGGATTAGCCTACTGAGCCGTGGGCACCGGCCCTGGAAAAGTCTTTGTTTTGCCCCTGCTGTAATGCGCCTTTGCTGGGTGCAGGTCTCCTCTTTGTTCCCAGCTGAGGATGGGGCCCCGCGCCCATCATCTGCTCTGTGTCGTCCCGGCAGGCAGTCTGCAGGAGTGCCCTGATGCGGTGTGCCTTCCTCTCTGGCCAGACTCAGCACTGCTGGGCTGAGCTACGGTCATGTGGGATCCAAGCCCAGCTGTGTGGGACTGGAGTCTGGAAGAACACCCTAGAGAATGGGAGATTCTTTATTCAGCCGGCATGGTGGCACCAGCCCCACAACAGCTTGAGTTGGCTTTTATAGGAGTCTCCATAGTGGCGGCCCCTAGCCAAGTGGTCACTCAGCAGAAAATGCATCAGCTGGGGGACCTGCCCGGCTGTCACTCAGCATGCATCACTCACCTCGTTTACCTGGACTTCTTGCGTCCCAACGGGTCAGCACCATGGTTTTGTGCCCGGGCTTTGCTGAGATTCTCACATCTCTATTTGGTTTCATCTCATTTAGAATCCCGCCCCCCCCCCCCCCCAGTTTTCTTTCAAATACAGAAACTGCTCCCCTTCTTCCTCTCCTCCGGGAACTCCAGGGGCACAGACTTGGGCCGCTCCATTTCCCCTCCCGGTCTGTTTCATTCCGGCTGGTGTTCTGGAACGCCGGGCTCTTGCTCCACCATGAAAGAAGGCACGGGCTGAGGTGTGAAGGGGCATGGGAGATCAGCGTTGATTGAGCAAAGTGAAGGTGCAAACTCTGGAAATGGATCAGGCCAGCGAGAGAGAACAAGCAAACCACCAAAGCGCTCACCAGGAAAAAGCAAAGCCCCGCCCAGGGAAATACAATCACCACCAATAGAAAAGCCGCCCGCCTCTCACCCCAGCCAGGTTGGGCCTTCCCGCGGCAGCATCCAGAGGCACAGCGACCGCTTCCGGGGTGGAGCTCCAGCCAGCGCTGTCTGGCCAGGACCCAGCACCACCCATTCCCATGCCTTTCTCTGGAACTATTAGTGTCATGGTGTCGGGCATGATGGGAGTGGGGGAGGGAACTCTTTCCAGCTAGTGCTGGTTCCATGTGTGCAAATTTGCAGAACTTTCCATTCCTGCTACACAGATGGGGACAGTGCACAGAAAAGGAGGGAGCTGTCACGTGGGCCAGGCCAGACTGCCTGTGGTGGACACCACAGCGGCAAACTGTGGATTGCCTGGAGCTGTCAGCTGTGTGTGCAGGCCAGCTCAGCTGTCACTCAGCAAGCCCACACTGGTGGGGAGCTGTCCGGCATGGGTTTGGCTGGGGCTCAGACCGCAGCTCCTGTCCCAGGTACCTGTGGCCAGCACACTGGTGATGCCGCTCATACTCTGTGTCTGCTCAGACGAGTCCTGTCAAGTGTGCCTTTCGCTGCAGATGTGGTCTCGGTCTCCAGAGGCCTGGCTAGGGTCCGTTATGTTCCAGGTGCGGCTGTCAGCACCCCTCCCTCTGCTCCTCCCAGGACGGTCTTTGCTGGCATCCAGGACAGCTCTGCGGTTCCCAGGCTCACTCTGCACTGCTCTTCCCTCTGGTGCTGTTCTGCCAACTCGGGCTGCTTGGTTTGCTGGCCTCTTACTGCAGGGCACGTGCCAGGCGCACCTGGGCTCCTCGCTCAGAATGTAGGTCCCGTGGTTTTGATGCTGCTTGGGGAGCAGCAGGTAAGGGGTGGTGACTGGGGGAGCAGTCGCCGGAGTGTGAGCTTAGCTGTCCTGCCCAGTGCCTGGCCACCTGCTGCTGGGCCAGATGTGGGCCAACTCCCGTCCCAGACTTGTCTGAAAACCCCCAGGCTGACTCTATGCGACTCGGGTGGTTTGCCACATCCACGTGGTCTGAACTGTGTTCAGCTCCAGTGACCCAGGAGGCTCCCAGGCCTGGAGAGGAGCGCGTGGCTGGCCAGCACAGGGCTGAGGGAGCATCCGAGGAAAACACAGGGCTTCCTGTTTGCCTCTGGCGTTGTGCACGTGAAGCTGTGTGGCCTGAATGGCTGGCTTTGGTGCTGGGAGCGTGTGCAGGATCTGAGCCCCAGAGCTGCCTGGGACAACGATGGGAACCCAGCTCGACCGTTGCAGGGCCGACTCTGCTGGGTGCAGTTTGCCAGGGCTCTCGGCCCTATGAGGAGTCTGCGAGAGTCCAGGCAATCTGCACGTTATGGAGAAACCATCCAGGAACACAAAAGGTTTTGCACCCCAGGAAACTCAATCTTTTAATCCCATTTTTGTGTGAACTGCTGCGATTCCCCTGTGTCATCCCCAGTGTGAGCAGAGCCTCGTGCCATCAGGTTTCTGCGAGTCCCGGGCTGCCTGCCGTTCGCAGACAGCATGTGGCTGAGTCCTGGGCAGGGACCGTGTCTGTGTCTCCCTGAGTGGACGGTGCTCTCCACGGACCACAGCCCAGGCTCGCTCACCTCCTCCCGTGTCTGTTCTTCAGGCATCAGCAATGCGGAAGCGCGGCAGCCGGGGAAGGCACCCAACTTCAGCGTCAACTGGACAGTGGGCGATTCGGCCATCGAGGTCATCAATGCCACGACGGGCAAGGACGAGCTGGGCCGTGCGTCGCGCCTGTGTAAGCGCGCGTTGTTCTGTCGCTGGACGCGCGTGCATGGCAAGGTACTGAGGGCCTTGCGGCCACGCCTCCACCTCCCCGCAGTGTCCACCCTTCTAGAACCTGCACGCTCCTGCCACCATGTGTGGCTCCCTGAAATGAGACTCAGAAGTCTGGGGTTCTCTCTGGCGTCCCTGACTCAAAGGGTGGCCTTGGTCCTTGCAGTCCCACTGCTGTCACACAGGCGGCAACGTCCCTTCCCTCTGCCCTGGGGCTGCTGCTGGCACCCAGACGTGGCCGGTCCCTAGGAGGGAGGAGGGTCGGGCCCTGCGTGCTCCCTTCCCTCTCGGCAGCCTGGTGCTGCCGTGGTCTCCGGCTGCACACCTCCCACGTGGTCGGTGAGTATTGCCAGTTTGCGTTGACTCCGCAGCCAGGTCCATGGCATCCGTCTGCTACAGGGCTAGCCTGAGACTGGCGAGGGAGGTGCAGGCAGATGCTCCAGTGCTGGCCCACGCTGGCTGCCTGTGAGTCTCGGTCCCCAGAGACTGGAGCCAGGCAGCGTGGCCCAGCGCACACCACACCAGCAGCGCTTTTCCTCTGCGAGTGCTGAGAATGCGATCTTCGTCAGCCGGGGTTCGCTGGGTGTGTGTGTGTGTGTGTGTGTGTGGCGGTGCTGTCCTCGCCTGTCACTCGCTCAGCACCTGCCCTTGTTTCTGCTCTTCTACAGGCACCACCCCACCTATTGCGCGCCAAGATCACCAAGCCCAACATGTACCACGAGTCCAAGCTGGCGGCGAGGGAGTACCAGGCCGCCAAGGCGCGTCTCTTCACCGCCTTCATCAAGGCGGGGCTAGGCGCCTGGGTGGAGAAGCCCACGGAGCAGGACCAGTTCTCACTCACGCCCTGAGTGAGGAGCAGCCGGTGCCCAGCCCGCCCCCCACAGCCTCCCGTCTGGACTGGGGGCAGGCGCTCAGCTCGGGGAGGGTGTGGGGGGCACGGGGATCCCCGGGGTCTCCGGCATCCTCCCCTGCATCCCACACCCTGGCCAGGAAGGGCACGGGCTCGTGGGGGTGCCGGGCGTCCCCGGGCCCCTCTCAGCCACGCATTCCTCCCCCAAGGACCCGGCGCCCGCACCTGATCCCGGTTTACGTTTAGAAACTGAGTTCTACTGAGTAGGGCTTCCGTAAGTTTAGGAAAATAGAAATTACTTTGTGTGAAATTCTGGAATAAATAATTTATTCAGAGCTAGGAATGTGGTTTATAAAATAAGAAGTAATTATGTCAGATCACTTTATGCCACATAATTTTAACTGCAAATCTGCAACCTGCGTGGAGGAGGGTGAGGTGATGGAGGGCGAGACAGCGAGCGGCGCACACAGCCACACACACAGCCCCTGGGTCTCCCCTCAGTGCTTCCGCAGGGGCTGCCGTCAGTCCCAGCAAGCTGTCCCGGAGGCCACCCCGGCCTCCCCTGGAAGCTCCGCAAACAGAGTATTTGTGTTCCCGGGTTGACCTCCAGTCCTCAGAGAGAAAACGGGCGCAGCAACCTGAGGTTTGGCAGCGTTCAGCCTGCGCACCAGGAGCAGCCAGCAGTGGCCCTGCCCCAAGTCTTGTGGACGTGACGGCTGCCCAGGGACCAGCTGGATGGAAGGAAGCAGGCGCTCAGTCTGCGGGCCTGCACTCCCTCAGCCAGGCTGAGCCAGGCTGGACCAGGTCTGACGGAACAGCAGGGGTGGGGGGGGAGCCCAAGGAGGTTGCTCAGCTCCGCTCGGCGCACAGGACAGCCCCATGGCAGGGGGAGCCAGCCAGGAGGTCAGGACCCTGTGGCCTGTGCTCGGAGATTGCCCCAGGTGCCTTGTTCTCACTCAGGACCAGAGAGGAGCCAGCAACAAGCGCCCTCCACCCCCAGTGCCATCCTTGTGGTTCTGGGGGTCTCTCTGAGGGGATCTCAGGGGGCTATGGGCCGGGATGGGTCCACAGCACACACGCGCACAGCAGAGACCAGGGCGCCTGTCCCCAGGTGTACATCCAGGTATCAGAGACAGGACAAAGCAGAGGAGACATGCGGCCACTGTCACCCATCAGGTCCTGGGGGTGCACGCAGTGACAGTGAGCAGGTTGCTTCCCTGGTGGGGCCTGAGGCCCAGTCTGCACATCTTCATGTGGCAGGAAGGGCCCTGTAGACCCGTCCGTGGGACTGGGTGACAGTCAGCGTCTGTCTCCTGTGCCTGGAGAAGGGAGGGGTCTGCCGGTGTTGCTGTCCACTCCCAGGCCCCTGCACACTCGAGGAGCATCTGTGGCTCTGGGCTGTGTTGTTCTTGTCTCTATAAATTGTATTTTTTCTAATGGGGATTGGGAGAGACTTAGTTTTTAAAAATATGTGGATTTTGGTTACAAAGTCCTGTGGAAACACATTGCTGCACATGCAAATTGCGCCACGGCCATCTCCGGAGCAAGGGTGTCCCTGGTGCAGCGCCCACACAGCCACGAGACCTGGCAGGCAGGCTTCTGAGCAGGAAGAGGGTGGCGCGGGCAGAGCCGCGGCCTATGTGTGTGGTCACAGCTCCACTCAGGACGGGTCAGGACACCCGGGGAGGGCCGCAGCTCACTCACCCTCCTGGGCACCGGCTGCCGCTGTGGTCACCCAGCGCCCCGCCACTCTGAGACCCCTCACAGGGAACCTGACACAAGCAGGGGATCGAGTAAAATCTTAAACCAGGGGACATGCTGACAAGCAGGGATGGGAGGGTGTCTGTCAGAGGCGCGCTGGACCACAGCGCCCCCTGGGGGCCAGTGCAGGGAGGGCTCTGTCGTGTGCTCTGCGTGGGAGGCAGGTGCGCGGCTCCTCCATGCTCCCTGCCCTGCTCAGAGCCTGGCGGGCCCACCCCTTCCCACAGGGGCTGCCAGGGACTGGCTCTGAGTGCCAGTGCTGATGCCCAGTCCGCCTCTGACTTCCCTTGTGCCCAGTCCCTCTGGATTGTTCTAACAGTTGAAATGACTGCTTTATTTTGAAGCGGACAAGCCAACATCTGATAAAGCACTGGTTCTCTGGGATTCCTTTCATTCCCATCCTCTCTCCGTGGGCCTGTGGAATGGCTGCATTCTGTGGGGGTCCAGGCAGCTGTGCGGCCAGCTTGGGCGTGAGGCCCCGCCGCCCTGGCCGCCTCGGCTGTGCTTCCAGGGTGTTTCGCTCCAGAGCCCTCAGGGCTGCCCGGTCACAACTCCAGTCCGGCGAGAGGCGCGAGGCGCGGACTCCCCACCTCTGAACTTCTAGGAAACTCCGGACTCTCTTCCTTCCTGTCAGCCCCACACTGTACACGGAGGGGCCCAGTGTCGTCTTCAGTGTGTGTCCTTGTCCCCTGCTGTGTCACATGACTGTCCCTGAGCATGGGGACATGCAGTTCCGGTGTCTGCAGAACAGGGTCGGGACACAGAGCGGCCCGCGCGGGCAGGCTGAGCGGTGCCGCGAGGGGTCCACGCACAGGCTGTCCTGCTGGCAGCACCGGCAACCCTGGCTCAGGGCCTGCAGGAGCCCCAGCAGCTGACGGCCAGGGCGCCGGATTCCACGCTGCCCGGCCCTGGTGCCCTGCGTGTCTGTACATACCACCCCTCCTGCATGACCTCACGCCAGGCCACTGGCCGCGCATGAGACGCTGTCACTGTAGACAAAGGACTGGAGATGCTGTACAAATAAAACGCCTCATGACCACTGCGTGGCTCAGGTCTTCCTTCCGCCCACGGTGTTCTGCCACTGGGGGCTCAGCACCCCCCCCCCCAATTCTTGGATCCTTCACCATCTTCCACGCCCAAGCATTAGGGGCTTCACAAAGTGCGTCAGGAGTTCGTTTGGGTACGAGCAGTTTCAATCCGCTGTGCTCCCTGCACTTGCTCAGGCGGGGTGGAGGGAAGGCACACTGCCACCCGCCAGGTCCCCACCTGTGAAGAGTGGCACGTGTCCCCATAGCCGGGGCTCACGCAAAGGGGCCAGATGCTGATGAGTGGCAACCGGACAGCCGGGTCCCCGGGTGCTGAGACAGCAGGACACAGTCACCATTCATGTGTCAACCTGGCTGTGCCCGAAGGTCACGTGGATTTGGTGGGATACAGAAGCGGTGCAGGGAAGCACGCATGCTAAGTGTGCACAGCAGGTGCGGGGGGAAGGGGTGGTGTCCCCACAGTCTGTGCAGGAAGGGATTTGGGGTTGAAGTAGACAGGCTAAAACCGATTAGGTTTGTGAGCTGCAAGACCACGCCTTCGCCACACCCCTGTGTGACCTCACACCCTACCTGATACCCTCACCACGCCCCCGTGTGACATCATGCTCTACCTGAACATACCTGAGTGCCCACCTGCCCACAAGCCACTCCCCTGTGTGGGGAATATATAAAGGCAGGGAGCATCCCAAAAGGCTCTCCGCCTCTGCTTTGCTGCCGGTGATAAGCAGTGGATAGCAGCTCAAAGCGCTTGGTGCACGTGGCTTTGCCCTACTCTCTGCTTGGTGTGGACGCTCCCCTCGTTTCCAGACTTTCCCTTCTCTTAAAACTGAACTAAAGCTCTCACTTTCCTATGTACCTTTTGCACTAAAGAAAAGCCTAAAACGTACCATGCTGCCTCGTTTATTGATGCTGGTATTTAGAATTCTTCTGTAAATATTAGGCAGGCTTATTAATATTGGGGATTTACTAATAAGCGTATGGTGACATTGTATGGCACCCCAAATTCCAGTAGCATATGTGGCATCCCAGATGGTGCTTCAGGGGAACTTAAAGGGACCACGTTTCTGTATAGATTTTAGGGGTCATCTCCGACAGGGTGATCGGCTTTCCTGCTGTTAAGCTCATCTCTGTCTAGCGTTTCTAGAGTTTGGGAAACGCTCTGAACGAGCAGCAGAGAGAGCAGCGCTGTTCACAGAGCCATGACCCTTTGGCATCACCTCCGAGACCATTTCATTTTGTCCCCACAAGAGAAACCACACAAAATGCAAATGTGCTGCTTACAGAAGAAAACCTTCTGAGGAAAGAGGGTGTGGCCACCACACGGCACACACGGCAGCACGTGGGGAGGCGGCCTCCGGCGGACGTCAGACGCTGCAGCGCTAAGGCCCAAAAACCCAGTGACACTGAGATGGCGCTCGCATTAGAACACGCCCCTAGAAGTCAGAACCCAGGACTTAAAACCAGTGACCAGGAGCGGGAAGGACGCGAGAGCCAGGCGCACACTGATGAGCTGTGGGGTGGCATGAACTTAACCCTGGGAGACCATGTCCCAGAAGGGACCAAGATGGAACACAAAACCCCGAGACACATGGTGACAGTGGTAGTGCCCACCCCCTGGGCATGGTGGGACTCACACACCAGACCCCCCAGGTGGATGGCCTCCGAGGCCCCCAGGCAGGGCGAGCCCAGTGCAGGAGGAGGAGCAGGATTTGGCTGAACCGGGACTGCCAAGGGTCGAGAGGAGCTGGAGCTGGCACCTGTGGCTCAGCTCACTTTCACACTTGAGGTTCTTTTTGTAAGATTTTTAGTTTTTTTGTTTGTTTTTTTAACTTTTTGCCTAGTTTCACTTTGGGAAGCAAACACACAGATCTTCCATCCACTGGTTCACTCCCCGAATGCCTGCAATACCAGGGCCAGGGAGTCGACTGCTTTCCATTGTGGGTGGCAGAACCCCAGTACTTGAGCCATCGCCTGGCTGCACACCAGCAAGAAGCTGGCTCGGACCTGGAACCCAGGCACTCCGGCAGGGCACACGGGGGTCCCCACCCCCGGCTGGCTGCCCAGCTCCACGCCCCTCTTAGGGTACTCGCTCCTCTGCTCCTGTATCCTCCACAGGTGAACGGAGACGTAAACACTGCGAGCACAGCCCAAGCCGTCGGCCACAGGCGCCCTGCCCTTTCCTGTGACACAAAGCTTGACAGCCCGATGGGAGAGGGTTTTACAGGATTTCAGCCTTGATTCTGCTTTAGGGGCCCAGCTCCTGAGCAGTGCTGAGTAAACGTGAGACACGTCCCACGGTCCCCTCACGCGCGCACACCCAGACACTCCCAGCACACACACAACCACGGTCCCCTCACGCGCACACCCAGACACTCCCAGCACACACACAACCACGGTCCCCTCACGCGCACACACCCAGACACACACTCCCAGCACACACACAACCACGGTTCCCTCACGCGCACACACCCAGACACTCCCAGCACACACACAACCACGGTCCCCTCACGCGCACACACCCAGACACACACTCCCAGCACACACACAACCACGGTTCCCTCACGCGCACACACCCAGACACTCCCAGCACACACACAACCACGGTCCCCTCACGCGCACACACCCAGACACTCCCAGCACACACACAACCACGGTTCCCTCACGCGCACACACCCAGACACTCCCAGCACACACACAACCACGGTTCCCTCACGCGCACACACCCAGACACTCCCAGCACACACACAACCACGGTTCCCTCACGCGCACACACCCAGACACTCCCAGCACACACACAACCACGGTTCCCTCACGCGCACACACCCAGACACTCCCAGCACACACACAACCACGGTTCCCTCACGCGCACACACCCAGACACTCCCAGCACACACACAACCACGGTTCCCTCACGCGCACACACCCAGACACTCCCAGCACACACACAACCACGGTCCCCTCACGCGCACACACCCAGACACTCCCAGCACACACACAACCACGGTTCCCTCACGCGCACACACCCAGACACTCCCAGCACACACACAACCACGGTTCCCTCACGCGCACACACCCAGACACTCCCAGCACACACACAACCACGGTTCCCTCACGCGCACACACCCAGACACTCCCAGCACACACACAACCACGGTTCCCTCACGCGCACACACCCAGACACTCCCAGCACACACACAACCACGGTTTCCTCACGCACACACCCAGACACTCCCAGCACACACACAACCACGGTCCCCTCACGCGCACACACCCAGACACTCCCAGCACACACACAACCACGGTTTCCTCACGCGCACACACCCAGACACTCCCAGCACACACACAACCACGGTTTCCTCACGCGCACACACCCAGACACTCCCAGCACACACACAACCACGGTCCCCTCACGCGCACACACCCAGACACTCCCAGCACACACACAACCACGGTTCCCTCACGCGGCACACACCCAGACACTCCCAGCACACACACAACCACGGTTTCCTCACGCGCACACACCCAGACACTCCCAGCACACACACAACCACGGTTCCCTCACGCGCACACACCCAGACACTCCCAGCACACACACAACCACGGTTCCCTCACGCGGCACACACCCAGACACACTCCAGAACACACGCATTCCCTCATGTGGCACACACCGACACTGCTCCAGAACACACACATGCCCACCGTTCCCTCATGTGGCATAGCCCTAGACACGGCTCCAGGACACGTCTCACTGCTCCCTCACGTGGCACACACGTGTCCACGGCTCCCACATGGCACACACCTTTCTGCCTCCTCCATGACACTGCTTCTGACTCACAAAGCCGGTACACAGAACCTTTTAATGGCACACTGTTAACTGGGTCAGTTAATTATGTTAGATCCACATATTTAAAACCCTGATTTTATTGTCTTCAGTAATCTATCTCACAAGGTGTGTTCTACAATTCCTCAATAGTTTTTAACGTCCCTGAAAAAGCACATTAAGACTTTGATCTCAACTGAAAAAGCAGATCCGATTTTTCTGACAGAAAAGCAGGCCCAGCGTGGGCCACTGGCTCGCCAAGCAGAAACAGGGCAGAGGACGCTGCTGCCAACGGAGCCAGCGGCCGCACGGCCGGGCTCCCAGGGATGCACGTCTGAAGCAACACATGTTCTACTGGCAAAAAAGTACAAGCAACGAAACCAACATTTCAAAGAAGCATATTAAGTGAGGTGGGCACAGGAGGACCAGAGACGCCAGGCCCTGGGAGGTCGATGACGGCCCCAGGCTGAGGCCAGGCAGGCGAGTCCTGCCGTCCGAGTGGTGTCCAGCCCTGGCCGCCACACGCGAATCAAATCCCGAGTTGACAGCTGGAAAAAGATTAAACTGCTTCCTGTGTTGTGCTGTGAATCCCTGCTGCTTTGGGCGTGCTACCGCAGACTCCACCTCCTCATCAGCACCCTCGTGCCAGCAAAATTCCTGACACCAACGTCTGGAGCAGTGGAACCAGAACCCGAACTTGCACTGAGCCCTGGCTGGCACGCCTCAAGACAAGCAGGTGTGGCACAATTTCACTTTCATTCGGGACAATGCCCCACCAGCTCGCACCGCATCTGTGCTGTGGACAAAGCGGGAGTGGTTAGTGCCCGTGCAGATGACTGGATCGGGGACACCACAGACAGCAGGAGCCTTTGGGTCACTAAGCAGATGCCACGGCGCGGCCTCGGGCCGGCGCTGCCCCGCGGAGCCGACACCGCCTGCGATGCTGGCCGCCCCGCTCATCAGCTCCCTGCTGACGACGCGCCTGGGAAGGCAGCAGGTGACGGGCCGAGTGCTTGGGCCCCGCACCCACGGGGGAGACCCGAATGGAGTTGCAGTCTCCTGGCTGGGCCTGGCCCAGCCCCAACTGTTAGACCCCATTTAGGGAGCAGACGGAAGTCTCCCTGTGTCACTCTGCTGTCAAATGAATAAATCGATCCTTTCTGTAAAACGCAT